ATTTTTGCCCAAAACCCAGAACACAGTTTCAACTGGGGGATAAACTCAGAGTCATATTCTTCACCAAACGCTTTACTTCTCCTGCGTTTGGGTCTCTGTAGCATCACATACTCTGTCATTACTAATTAATGATGTCACATTTCTTTACCTCGATAAGCTTGAATTTCAGGTTTTACATTCATTCTAGCATTACTTTCTGTCTGTAAGGACAGCCTGCTGGATGAGCAGGTTGGAGGGGGCAATATGACTAGGTATACAATATCTCAGAGTCTTAGACTCTTTGAAATTTAGAGCTATGATGTCCTGCCTATCTGTAAGTCAGACTGTAGGCTTCCCTAACCTCCCAAACACAGCTCTAACCCTCAAGTATGTGGGAGTTGGGGTCTGGGGAAGAAGCTCTGTGACAGCTAAAATTACTGCCTCCAAGTCCAGAAACTCTATTCCTTTAGCTAGAACTAAACATGGAATGTTATTGCTCTAATCTGAGGCACCAGTTAAATCAGCTTAGTTATCTGGTTTTCTCCTCTAAAGAAGATAGAAATTATTGAAAGGAGATAGAGTTTCTGCACAAGGCAGGCATGCTGACTTTAGAGAGAAGTAATCACAGCCTGCCATCCTACGACGAAACAGAAATCATAAAAAGTACACACAAAACCAACATAGTATCGGGTCAGCGTATGGGCAAGCTGTCTTATGTATCTTAAGAGGCCTTAAAGGGGTGGCCCTATAGTGTAGCACATTGCAACAGAGATGTGTCCACTGATGAACATGGGCCATCAAGTAAAAATTAAATCGTTCCCTGTATTTAAGAAAGAGAAAAATGTAATTTGTTTCAGAAAAGCACTTTATTCACAATTGGTTGTACAAAGATCAGTTTGTGAAAAAGGCAAGTTTCCATTATTTAGAAATCACACACTCATTCATTCATCTCTTTCTGAGCACTGCTAGAAGGAAATTTTGCTTTTGGGTAAAATTTGTTTTGCTCATATTCGTCACCTACTCTGTTTGCCAAACCTGATTCCGTATGCCTATTGGCTATTTCCCATAATTAAATTCTCCCTTGAAAGATAAAGAATGCCTCATGTTCTTTGATTACTCTTAGTCTTCCATTTAAGAGATAAGTACATACCTTTGAAATTTATTTAGCATGGTTCTGTGTCTGAAGTTTCATAGACAATAAAAAATATTATGGCAAAATACTAACATAATCCTCAAATTTTATAGCTATTATCTACCATTTAGTATCCATGTCTTCCATCTAAAAGATAATGCTACATTTCCTGTTTTCTACTCTCTGCTTTCTGTGTGGTTGTTTATTTTTCCCCCAAATCATAAAAAGTGATGAATGAAGTTTCTTTTCACTATCGTATAACTTGGTTTTGTTCATAGTTTCCTTCTGTTATCTAGATTGCTAATTAGAAGCTGCAACTGTTAGAATGAGCCTATCACAGATGTCATCCAAAATTTTTACTTCCCTTTTTAGTTCTCTAATAGAGTAAAATCTTGATTAACAAATGGCCTTGCAATCCCCCTTTGTGTGAATGCAACCACATTTAAAAAAAAAATGTACCTTCACAAATCTCGCACGAGAGCTGTGTCTCTGCATAACATCCATAGACCCCACCAAGACTGAAGGTTAAACTCAAGGACAGGCCAAATTTAGAAGCCTGGAGACTACCTTCAGTCCAGCTCTGGTTTCTTCTCTCAATATACTCTTTTCTCTTCACAGTGATTGCTTTTTCTCTTTACAAATGAGGTGTTGTCCTTTTTAATTTCCTCCTCCATCCCAAACAGAACACATTGGTCATTTTTATTTGTTTGAAATGTTATCTCCACCATGCCTTTGCACTTGAAGTCTTTGATGCCGAGCTGTGAAATGAACATCTTTTTCTCTACTCAGTTTAAGACATGTTAGGCATCATGGAATGAGGACCGAGGCAGAAGAGAAAGAGGATGGAACATGCACAAGCAGTTACTCAATAGACCTAAAACTATAGCTGACAAAATCTGCCACGACAGCCCAAGTGGAGAGTCCAAGTAGGATAGGTGCGAATATCACAGCTGGCTCAGACCCTCTATGTACCGACTTCCCCCTCATTATTTTTCTGATTTCTGCCAACTCTGGCAATGTATCTGATCTCCAGGGACACATTCTTTTTTCCTGCCTAAAGTGTGGAAAAATTTTTTTGTTGTCAGAGTTTTGTTGAGATAGAATTGGCATTTGGAAGAAGAAACATTTTCTGGGAAGCTTAAATGGGGTGCAACTCACAGAGCGCTGAAGGGAGCAAGTTAATGTGGTTTGGATTTGTGATCTGGCGGAGCAGAGAGGCCTGAGAAAGTGCTGCCCTCTCTCGGGTCAGGCTGACGGCAGGGCTGGGGCTTCCAGGAGTGTTGATACCTCAGTTGCAGGCACTGTTTCTCAAAGTGGTGCTCACAGGCCACCTGCAACACATTCTACTGGGTGCTGCTTCAAGATGCATCCCAGAAGGACTAAATCAGACTATATATGAAAGGGCCTGGTGAGCTACAGTTTAACGAATTGTCCATTAATCTTCTGCTCCTAAAACTATTTAAGGTTCCGGCTCCCCAAATCATTTACGTGCATGTAGCTGGAAGTGCTTGCAATTACGTGACCGACTCACCCTGGTTATACACATGAGAAACTTAGGCATAAACCAGAAAGCCAGTTTGGACTTTTGCCCCGGGTAGTGTGGGGATCCTATGGCCGCAGAAAGGAGAACTGTTCATGGTTCATGAAGCTCGGTGTGGTCTTCTTTGACTCACTCTCAAACTTTACATGTAGTTCTGCGTGTCGGAATCCTCTTCTTTCACCCTCAGTCCATTTTCCCTTTCCAAGGAAATTATGAACAATTAAGATGTATCTGTTTAACAAGGCTCAGCTGTCTACTTGTTCCAGAAAGATTTCAATCTCGGCCCACCAACCCCAGGAACCTGCTGTGGGACAACCTAGGTGGTTGCCCCTAATGTACCATTGTCGTTTACTTGTTTATATGTGTGTCTGTCTCCTATTAAACATTGAATTTAATTGTCCTTATAAAACTGAGCTGCACCCAGTGCCTGACCTGGAGTTACTGCTCCATAAATGATTGTCAAATGAAAGGATGAGCTAAAAGATCTCGTGAGGCCTGCTTGATGCATGTTCTCGGTTTTGATCATCTCTGCCTTAAGGAATGACTGGATGTGTTTTTCTGTAAAATTAAATATGTTTATATTATACTTGGCTTTCTGTGATCCTTACAAAAATGTGTTTTGAGAGCAAAATAAATAGGGATAGGGAGAAAATTAAGATGCTTTGAGGGTCTAAATACTTGTGAAGTACATTTTTTAAAATGCCACAAAATGCTTTAAAGAGCTCCAAGTAAATTTAAGAGGGGATCTACTGGATTTTGGCTAAGTGCTGAAAAAAAGTTTCCTTAATTCCCTATCCAAATACTTCAACTTAAATTTACTGGTAGCTATTTCAGAGGAAGATGGGAACTCTGCAGTCCTTGGTTTGTTATAAAGAAAATGTTTTTGTCTTCAAATGTTTAGAGGAAGGATTAAAGGCAATTTATGGCTAGGGTAGAAAGTAATAAAAGTAGTAACAATGGAGTGTCTTCTAAATTGTCATCATTTTCTGGAATTACTAACAACATCAACCCAGCAGGCATTTTATGTCCAAAAGGAATTACTTTCATTCGTCATGCCTTAATGTAAACTATAGCATCAATCTTGTAGCTGCAATGGTGGGATTGTTTGCTCCATTCTATTGTATAAAAAGAGAGGTTGATTCAGTTATATAGATGAATTCTATCGTTAGATATTTTGCCACAGGACTCAAGAAATATATTTGTAATTTATTTCTTTCAGGAAATTAGGTTGCAAGGTCTACATAAAAGGAATTGTATTGAGATCAAGCCATAGCCTTTTTGGTTTCTCCAGAAATACTCCATTTTTGATTCCTAAGGAAAAAAAATCTATAATAATAAAAAATAAATTAACCTAATAGGTTATTTTCCTTCCTGTAGCTCCCTTTTTTATTAATAAAATCCCAGTTTACAGATGTCTTACTATTTGTTTAATTAAAACAATCACGACTGTCTATAGCATTTTGCAATTTATAAAGAACTTTTAAAATACAATTGTATTTAATCTTTGCAACAACTCTGCGTAGTAATAATGGTAATAATTTAATATATAATTGAGCCCTTTCACTATTTGAGGGAATACTGAGCTTCAGGGGTATAAGGACATTACCAATGTCAAATAGTAGAGCCAGAACTTAATACAGGACTTGTCTCCAAATTGCATCTTCTTTTAACTATACCTCTGGTAAATTCAATACTGTTTTCCTTGGCATGTATGTTTGTAAAGAAATACAAGAAATGTTAAAATGTTATTACTGCTCACTCTTTTTTATCTGTTATCAATTAAATAATTGGTTCCCATGCTTGACAAGCTAATTTTTTAGAAACCGCTCAAGTATTTATTGCAAATGCCTTTCATGCATGGGTGTGTATGGTGTAGAAAGTGAATCTGAATTGTAAATAAGCATGTGAATTTTATATGATATTCTGTGTTTAATTCTTTTAATGCTTCTAATTTATGTCCTGGTGCCAATCCTATTTATGTAATAGAGTCAATCTCAGTACCCTAACCTGAAAATAAGGAGTATTTCTTTACTTTCTTGTATATGAGATTCCTTTTATATAAGATGAAATGTATACATGCTCTGTATCGAAATTCTAGTGCATTTGTGTACTATTCCATTGGATCATCCTTTGATTCCAAGTTAAGAATCTCCAGACAGATTAGTCTAATATAGCTCCAACAGTCTAGGTTTTTAAATCAAATGTCAAATAACATTCCTGTGTGTGGGGTATTATTTTCTTCAGTAATTCAAATTCTTATTGAGTTGAGGCTTGCACACTTATTATAAGGTGGATTGCAGTGATCTATGTAGGTTTTTGTTTAAATACATGTGTCTTTTCCCCTCTCAGAGTAAAAGAAGCTGAAGAGGTGTGTAGGCAGAAAAAGGGAAAATCACTTTATAAAATAAAACCAAGACATGACTCTGGAATTGTAAGTATTTAACTTTACTGGTTTTTAACTTGTGATCTTCTTTTAAACCCTGTTTCCATAATTTATACAAATTCATATAATAATTTAATTATGTTCCTCAAGTTTGGGTAAATAACAAGCTTCTGACTTGAAGAAGCCCCTTTTCCTTATGCCTTTAATCAGACCCAGAATGCTCTATATTCAGTATTCAAAACTTAGCAATGAAGATAAATCTGCTAAGGGTGTCCATGTATGTGGATATGTTCGTGTTGGCAGGTGGTGGGCAGGAGGCCATCTTTTACTTTCTTTATTATGCACGAGTCATGGCACAGGCTGCATTTGAACCCACAGTGACCATTATAATTGAATTAGCTTCATTGGGATCTAAAACATGATGGGAAATGCCAAGAGCAGCGCCATGCTTTGCAAAGGGTGCGTGGACCTGGTTCATATCCACAGATGGCTCCACGGAGCTGGCTCCTTGACAGCTGTCGGACCATAGTCTGAGTTTAACAAGCTCATCTAAGTTTCCTTCAGGCCCATTTCTCCCTTAAAATAAAAATGCCAAGTTGTGTACCCTGGGAGGGAAGGACTTGGTTAAAATGACAAGTTTTCCCTTTTTATACTGAAGATGTTTTGTTTACCATTTTGAGGGATTATCACACAGTGCCACGGTGTAAGTAAATGGTGCTGTTTTAAATGAAAAGCCAAGTTAGGGGATAAAATAGGAGCATTTTAAATTGGATTAGTCTAACATAGTCTAAATGGAAAAGACATTAAAATAGCCCAAGTTGGGATATGATTAAATAGCCCTATTAACAAAATATTAGGAATTATGTCTTCATTTAAAAGCTATTTTCCTTTTGGTTTGTCTGTATCAAAATGAATCTTATCTAGTGACAAGTACTATATTATGGTTCAGTGTATTTTCTGCTCTTTTCTGATAAAAGATCAACTCTAAAATTGTGATGAATGAGGAGGAATAATTATTTATTAGTGAACCTCATTACCATGCTGTTATAAGGACAGAAGAGCTTTAATCATGAATTGAAGCAGCCAATTCTTTTATCATATTTATTTATTTGTAGGATTGAGGATGAGAAAGGGTGAGTTGGTACTCTTTCATGTAATTTTAAAAGCGTTTTTTATTCTTAAAAATACTTGGTGATTTGTCTTGATGAAAATTCTAAAAGATAAAGATCCCACTTACATTTTTTTCCTTTCTGGCTTGGTGGATCTTTAACCTTTTCTCAGAAAATGTGATCCAAATCAAAAGGTCTTCTTTGGGGCACTCTAAAGTTCTCTCTAACTATAACTCTTATCTGGTGTATTTCTTTTCAGAAAGCAAAGATAAGCATGAAAACCTGAACAATGAAAAGCAGAGTGAAAATGAGTCATCGCAATGACTTTCACACAATTCAGCTGACCTGAGGGTGGGAAGAAAACTGCAACAATTCTGATCATTTTTCTTCTTGACCTCTTGCATAATCTTCGTGTTTTCTAGACAGTTCACTAATTGTTGAATTTTACTGTATATTCGTATAAAAATACAACAGCACTAGACCAGTGGAGAATTTGACACCTTTTCTTTTTGTAAAAGTTTATGGTATTATGGCGATAGACCAAAACAGCATGTATAAGAGGCAGTATCTGCACTAATTCTGAACATGCTAAACATTAACCTAAAATTTACTTTTGTGAGAATATTCCTTGTCACGACAAAGACACTTTCCTTTCTACTGACAACCAGTACTCCACATCACTGCATTTAGATACATGGCTAAAATGTTACCTCTAGTGAATTGTTTCAATTTCACATCTACATATAAATTTTCTATTTTAAAATTTAAGTACCATTTATATATCATAATCAGTGCTTTCCCAACTCTTGGGTTGCTCTCCATAACTATATATTTGTGAAAGAAGATTATCATTTTCACAAGTCAGGTAATGAATAGAAAAAAAATACAACAAAAGAAAAACTCTTTCCTATAAATTATTTAATATAGGCAGAAATCAGAGTTTTAAGTGCAAAGAAACAGTAGTGGTTTTTCCCTAGTGTTGTTTTATAGTCTTCCTACCCCCTTCAGTGCTTCCAGTGTGTATATTACCATTCTTCAATGAAATAATAGGGCATTTAACAAAGATCGCTATGTGCAATACTGTTTTTAGTGTTTCTATTTCAATTTTTTTAGGATGTTAATTTTTATGAAAATAAAATGAGTTAATAATAAAACAATAGTTAATAATAAAAAGAATTCTGTGTCTGTTATGTGAATATTGCATAAGGATTCTTGTAAAATACAGCCATCGTGTTTAGCATGGGGTCAGGGGTGAGGGAAGGAGAGAAAATAAGTTAGTCTGCATATTCACATGCACAAAAAAACATGCATACGGTTTCAGGAATTCAAGAGCTTAAAGCCCATCAATGATACCTCATTAAAAAAATTCTGATAAAAATACTTCTTTATGTCTTGAACTAGGATCTCTATCCTAAGCTCCAGAAGACTTTCTGGTCATTTCCAATTGGATGTCTCACCATATCTTAAAATTCATCATGTGTAAATTCAAACCCAGCTTGTCATCTTGCCCTCCATGCCTGCTCATTCTTCTGTGTTACCTGTCTCAGTAAACAAAGCCACCACCCATTCAGAAACCTGAGCTCCTTCCTGACATCTCACTCATCTCCCGGTGGATGGGATGCATCCATTTTGGTCTGTCTCTTCCATTAAAGTCCTTGTTTAGAACCCTCATGAATTACTTTAATAGCCTACTAATTGCTTTCATCTTCCAAGATTTGTACTGCAACAAATTTTTTTTTTCTAAAATACACACCTGCTCATCTGAATTTCCTACTTAAAACATTTTAGTGACCATATACACCAAGATATGCAGCTTGAAGATACTATCCAAAATCTCTGGTGTGGCTGACAGAGTCCTGAGTGATCTGATGCCTATTTACATCTCAAGTGTCATCTCTTGACTCAATCTATCTTGAATTCCAGGCTTCCAGCCTGTCTGAAGTACTTTTTGGGCTTATTTTCTCTCAACTATACACCTTTCCTCACGTTTTCCCTCAGCTTGATGCATTCTTAACCTTTTTATCTGGTTAACTAGTAATTGCATCTGAGTTTAGAAGTCACTTGCCTCCAAGACACCTCTTGACACTGGTCTCCCCAGCTCCTCACGCATAACAGACACTCGATACATATTTATGGGTTAAGGCAAAATAGGAGTGTTGACTTTGCCAAATGCTTCAGGACACAAGCAAGTAGAGGACTGAAAAAAGTCCCTTCACTGAAAAAGAGTGGTGGTAAAGACTAAGGGTAATGTTAAGGAAGGAAGTAGAAAAGGGAGGCTCCATTTAGATTAATTATAATGAATGAGAACGTTTTAGTAGCTCCAAGCTAGGAAGACTTTTCTATCATTTGAGAAACATTATGCTTTGAGTGTAAAATTGGAATTTTCCTTTTGTTTCCAACTAGAAAAATAAAATATATTTTTAAAAGTATAGATACAGCATGGGGCAGGGGGTGGGGAAATGAGTGAATGAGAGTGCGTGAGCAACAGAGATCTCTCCACAAGGTAGAAGGAAATAATCATGCCCCATTTGTGGAGGGAAGCCAAGCCAGGCTCACTGCCAGAGATGTGGGGCTTGCCTACCAGTGGGAGTCAATTGGAAGCAGCTACAGTGGATACCAGATGATGCGGCCAACATAAACCAGCATGTGTATGGTGGCAGGAGAAAGTAGACCAACCTGGGCCAGCCGACTGCTTGGCCCACGTCTCTCTCTGCAGTATCTCCAATGTCACTGCCATGCAGGGGCCCGGTGCCACAGAAAAGGCTGGTTCTAGCCTAGGAATGGGTGGACGTGATAGAAAATGACTAGAGAGGGAAGAGGAAAAAGAGCGTGAGCACCCTCTCAAGACAGCTCTGCAAAACACACCTCCAAAACACATGAGGAAAATATCAAGAAGAAATCAACTCAATAAATGGCAAAATGAATTCACCTTCAAAAAATGCCAATAATAGGACAGAATTGAAATGATTTAATAATTCTGTTTAGGATCCGCAAAGAATCTTGAAATATATAATTCTTTGAGATAGAAAAAATTATAAGCTAAATGAATTCTAGGTGGACATAAATTAAGAGACAATTAGTGATTTGCAAGATAGTACTAAAGGAATTTAATAAGAGTGTGCAGCAGAGAGAAAAAATATTTTTAAATGTGTTAAGAGAAGTTAAAAGAGATAACAGGAAAGACCGAGAGACTCCAATTTAAGAGGCATACTATTCCCATAGGGAGAAACTAAAGGAAATTGTAGAGAAGCCAGATAACAATAGCTTGAAGAAACAATGTTGAGAATTTTCTAGAGTTGAAAAAAGACATACCCTCTGCTTAAATATGTGTAACAAGTGCCAGGCCAGATGAATGTCAATAAATTTGCACCTACAGAGGTCAAAGTGAATCTCTAGTTAGGTAAACACAAAATGTCAAACGTCCTGAAAGAAAGGACATATCACCTACAATAAAATTACAGTTATCCTAAAGCAGGTTTTTCTTCAACAACAACATATGTTAGAAAATAGTAGTGTCTTCAAATTGTGGAAGGAAAACAGTGAATCGAGACCATTATGCCAAGTTGAAGTATCATTCATATGGAAGGGGAGAGAGAGATTTTCAGACGTATAGGAAAACTAGACAAGTTTACCACCCCAAAACCTTACTGAACAGTCTGCTAAGGGCATATGTCAGCAAGGAAATAGATGCCAAGTGAAGGATTGTGATACAAGTAATCACACATAGCAAAGAAGTTCATGAAATAAATCAACTCTAGATGGTAAACAATAGCAACTATGATTTTTGTGTTTACAGAAGGAACTAAAATTTTAGATAACATGGGTGAGAGAGATTCAGGGAATAATTCAAACATGCTAAGAGGCTTGCTCTAGTCTTTTCATGCATTCAATTCATCAAATGTTTGTAGAGTGGTTCATGCACTCCAGGAACTATTGTAGGCTTTGGGAGTGATGGGCAAACAGAAAATATCCTATCCTTGTGGAATTTACATTCTAATGGGAGAGACGAACAGTGAACAACCAATGATGTAAAATAATGTCAGGTAATATAATATTTAAGTAGGGTCAAACCCGAATGCCATTGAGAATGGATGTGGGTGCTGTAATTCCTACAAAACCTCCATAAATTGATGCAGTACCCAGACGAACTCTGGTTGCCCTACATGCCAAGTAAGCTTTTAACTGGTAAGAAGAAAAGAAGTGGCCAGGTGCAGTGGCTCACGCCTGAAATCCTAGCACTCTGGGAGGCTGAGGCGGGTGGATTGCTCAAGGTCAGGAGTTTGAGACCAGCCTGAGCAAGAGCGAGACCCCCGTGCAATCATTCCTTGAGTTATGCCAGCTTTTCATTATCATTGCCACTTCCCAGCCAATTAGCAAACTCAGACTTTTGGAGGTTGCATTTTTTAAAAATTTTTGGTTCCCATAAAACACATCTTGGTTATATAATCAAAAGCAATAGAAAGAGGTTTAATGTTTTAAAATGGTGTGAGAAAGGGGGCATTTACCCCTTCTCTCAGAATCATTCCAAAGCAACAAGGAACAAAAATGCATCATCTTTGATTCATCTTTGATTAAAATTAGAGGTATCAAAAACCCAAACCACAAAATATATAGAAGATCTTCCAAATGTGTGGGTTGGGGGGAAGCAGAGAAAGGATACTTGAATTCTCGTGGAGACACATCTCAGAAAAAGCCAGCAAAGTCTCTTTCTCCATGGTGAAGCCATACCCTTAGGTGACATCTCAAACTCCTGTATTTGCAATAATGGACCTTGGTACACTAATTGGTATTAGAAACTTCCCTGAATGTGGTTTATTATTTTTTAAGACAAAAAGGATTGTCTATATGAGAAATCAAACAGACAAGTCATATTTGCAGGAAGATGTCTATCAATAAGACCAGGGAAAGGGAAGAGATGCTGAATTAGTAGTCAACGCTAACTGTGCTCACCGCCCTGCTTCATAATGAAACACTTAATAGCTCCAAACACAGCCCTATACTTTCCCCAACACACACAACTTCATAGAGCTGGTGAGCATAACACTACTACCAAACCAACAAAGATTATTTAACTTTTGAAGAAAAGGTCTGAATAATATGAATATGTCTTTAAATGATCAAATACCTCAAGATAAAGTTGACCCCGGGGCATAATGGGGAAGCATTAGAAGTGATTCCATTAAAAATCAGGACCAAGACCAGGATGTCTACTTTCACCATTGGTGTTTATCACTATTCTGGTGATGAGGGAAAAAAAAGATATACAATTGAAAAGGAAAAGGTAAA